GGTAGGTAGGTAGGTAGGTAGGTAGGTAGGTAGGTAGGTAGGTAGGTAGGTGGGAAGGAAGGAAGGAAGGAAGGTAGGTAGGTAGGTAGGTAGACAGGCAGGCAGGCAGGCAGGCAGATAAGAGAGAGTGAGAGAGAAATGTTGGTATAAAGAATTCAGATTTTCTCTGGGGTTAAGGTCTTCTTTAATGCAAAAGAAATGAGAAAATGCTCTAACATAGACCCAACATTAATGCTTTACATTGTAGAAAACAGAGTTGGAAGGGACCTTGGAGGCAGTAATTTGAGGTCCTCTGGATTAAACTATATCTTATATTATGGTTTGAGTTGAGGTTCCTCAAGCTAAGCTCTCCTGGTTAGTTCTTCTAGCCAATCTAAGCTGCTTTAGGTTCCATCAGAGAATGGTGAGATGGACCTCCAATGACCAAAGGAAGGATAGTCCTGCCTTGTGCTAATCCTTCTCCTCCTCTATGATCTGAGCTAGATTTTGCCGTGATCAGTTGTTCCTCCTGGAGATTCCTTTCCAGAAGGAACCTGGATAGGGCCCACTCCTCACAAAACAACCCCATAGCATCCCCGGTTTACCTGTCAAAGGATCACACTGCGAAGAGTGATGGTTGCACTGGCATGGACGGCAGGTGGTCCCGTTGAATTTGGAGAAGCCTTCCTGGCACTGGGCGCATTTCGTCCCCGTAGCTCCAGCTTTGCACTGGCATCTTCCAAGGCTGTTTGGAAACAAAGAACCAGAGATCAAACAGGAGGCATTGTGGAGCGCCTTCGAAAGCAGTGCGTGTTGCCATGGTTGAATCTGGGTTGAAGGAAGAATTGAGGAAATGGAGTCTTCTCCAAGCCAATGAGAAGGGCTGGGATATAAGTACCCCAAATTGCCAAGCAGCAGAATGAGTTGTATTCTGTTGAGGAGGTCTTGTGGGTACATGTGAATTGCCAGGTGATAGAAGAGAGAGAGGGAGAAAGGAAGGAGGGAGATAGGAAGGGAAGGAGGGAGAGATATTAGATAGAAGACAGGTACAAGAGAATAGTTGATAGACAGATAGATAGATAGATAGATAGATAGATAGATAGATAGATAGATAGATAGATAGATAGATAGATAGATAGATAGATAGATAGATAGAT